AATAGGGACTTTCCTATTTAGCATAAGGATTTCTCTTTCCAATGAAGGAAACTAAATCAAAATAGTTAATACTTTTAAGTTAATACTGTTTTGAGGTGCCACTTCATTAAGCACTACAGGTTCCCACTCAACTGATGATTTTTTTTTCTCTTTTCCATTAAAAGCTCTGCCACAAATTATCATAAGCAGGTGCTCTAGGCAGGTACTGAAGGGATTGGGCAAAATATATCTAAAGTATTTATGCTTATACAAGAGTCTTTAAAACATTCAAATAACTCAATGGAATTTATTTAGAAAAATAAAATAATACATCATATTCCCCTCCAGGAAATATCAGCTAAAATTAACTCTTACTAACAAGTAAGTTTTTCTTTTTATGCTACTAACATACAGACATACAATTTGCATTACTGTATAAGGAAGGTAGGCAAAGCAAAGCATTTATCATCCAGCAGACAAATGCCACTGGATTGCTAGTTATACCATATAATAAGTACCATCTAATTCTCTCTCTCCAATCAATTTATTCTTCAAAGTCCTGCATCATCATCGAGGGACAGCATTTTCCCATTGAGAAATTACGAAACTGAAAAATCACATTTTACAAAATATTCGACTAGTTGCTGAAAATCCCGTACAAATAACATTCAGTATATAAACTCTGACCCGAGGTATGTAAACATACCAGTCTGTGTCATGTATGCATGTGCATATGTCATAATATGATTTACTGAAATACGAGGGCAGCAGCTTCCTAGAATCTCATTTGAAGGAAATCACCATCAAACGGAACAGACTAGCTGGCTGTGTCTTTATACTGGCTGAGCTGGGCCTGGAATTTTCTGCCTCTGGTGACAGAGATAGAAACTACATAATTTATATAACCAACAATTATTGCCTGCTCTAATGGTTACACGATACAGTGTGAAAAAGCCAATAATGTTGACTACAATCCAATTTCTACTGTTCCACCAAAAGTAGAAGTGTGTTGGTGGCAAACTACATATGCTCTTTTTCCTAGACCAAGAAAACACATAACAATCAGAAATATTTGAACTTGATACCTGACTAATGATGGCAGTACTGTGCAAGTGATATCCACTCAATAGGGTCTAATTATTTAATTATTTTCTGCTATTAATTGAATTACACAATTCAAAACAATCAGCTAGCATGACTGTTTTGGAGGAAGCTCATAATCATCAACTCATACATGTAGAAATTTTCCTAAAATTATATTAAGCTGGCCTGTTGAACTTGAAAGGCATATTTTATCCCAATCAATGCATAAAAGTAAAATTATCCATAACTAAGGCATGTTTCTCTGCTGTACAGTTCAGCTGTAATGATCCCCACACACTGCACTTGCACATCAATTATGATAATCATAATCACGGTCGTTAAGCTGAATGTTCATTATTATCAGGATGCTGGTGACAGCAGATTCAATCATCGGGTGCAATGGGCAGGCAGTCACAGTCCCACCCAAGTTTCTGCAGATAGCGTTGTGCCACATTAAATCTATGATGTGTTCCACATCCCACTCCATTCCAAAAGCTGTAGACGGTAAAGGTCAACTTTATGTTCTGTGCAATATGCTTAGGTTCTCTAAATTAATTCTTTGCAGTACTGGATATTTTTATGCTTTGTAGATAATAAAATTCTGTTTAGGGCCAAAATGGCTCTGCAAATAATGAAACAGGGATGCAGCCATACTGTAATTCATCTCTAATAAGGCATCAGAGGAAAGAATCTATCAGCAAAGAACACCTTAAAATATCACTAATTTTGCAAATAAGAAATCATTATATGCTGTCATTAAGTAAGTTTTCTTAAATGCATATGCAAACCAATACTGATTAAGGGCTATAAGCTATCATTTCTGCTTCAATAAATATGAACATATGTGAGTGTTTTGACAAGTGAAAGATTATGGCTAGTACATTTGATGCTGTGACTGTCTACACAGGATCTACTACTACACAGGACCTATTACTCTAAATTAAAGTCATAGTTAAGTGGTAGAGATCTGTTAGTCTGATACTTCTCACATAAATTTTATCTAAGTTATTCAAGGTATCTAGCAGTAGGATTTATTTAAATTTCTGAAACAAAAAAGCTTGTGTATTTTTACAGTAGTTGATAGGTTGGTAAATTAAGTCAGTCATTTGATTTCCATTAGAAGTATAGTATTTCCATTTCCTAACTTGTGCATTTTTAATGAAGAATTGGCATCCAGAAGTTTTTCCTTTCACTTACTAACTTCTTCGAATATAAACAGAATATGATAAAAATGAGAATAATGAGATGAAAAGATGAATTAGTAACTTTTCTCATACATTTTTGGTATTTATGTTCAAAAGAAGGCTATGCTAATATCCTTACATTTTTTAGAAGATTATATAATGCACATATGAATATTTTTGTGACCTGAATTAAAATACATACATATAAACAAAAAACCTAAAGAGTTTGAAATTAGGATGTTCTCATGAAAATACACAGGGAAAGCTTTTAATGCATAATTAAAAAAAAAAAACGTCACATCAGTTCAGAGGGGCCTCTGACCCAGTCACCACTGAACTTTCAAGGAGAGCTTTTCCTCTAGTTTGTATGATCAATAATGATAAGCCAAATTTCTCTAGTTATGCTACTGAAGAAGCTGAATATATGCCCTGGCAGGGTGTTTGGCCATTCAGGTTGTAACAGAAATTGCATTAATGTAAATGTCATGCCTTGAGAAACAAAACAACAGTTTCAACAAAAGTTTCATAGATATAAAGTATTAAGCAAAAAATCTAATTGCCTTGGGTAATATTTTAATGGAGCTTATTAGTATAAGATAATCCTGGCACAGTTTTGATTTACACAAAACTGTAATACATTTGTGAAATGACACAAAGTGTTCTTTCAAATGTGAGTTATGAAAATATGATTTTGCACCTGTCTGTATACGACCTCTACCATTAAAATGTGGCAAAGAGGTGGAGCTTTTAGTTTCTGTGCTGGTAATGATGACCCATAAAAGCAGCAGGTAGGTCAAAGATAGCTCTTTTCTCCTCTTATCTCTCTGTTTGGGTAAGTGGCTCCTAATTGAAGCTTCATATTGATTTAGAATTGGAATTGGAAACCTGGATGTCATGTTGGGTTAATGAATACAGCTATTCACCTCCAGAGATTTAGCTTGAAACCTATCGGAGATCACAAGTGAGTTTGGTCGTCTCAGCTAAGCCCATGATTTAAATGCTATCCAATAGCCTTAATTTTTTTTGACATCTTGATCTGAGTCTGATCAAGAACAAGGAATGGAAAAGGAGTCTTTCTGGCATAAAATGGGAAACATCAAGAAATCTTTAAGATTATCTTATATTACTTGTTTATACTCTCATTGGACTGCAGCCAATGATACTCTCCAATCTTTTTGGATTGCATGTTGATTTTTTTGGCTTTATTTGCAACACAATTTATTTAAAATAGCTAAGTTCTGATCTTAAAAAAAAACACTTCTCAAACTAATATTCTTTGTAATTTGTTATATATTTACAAGGACAAGCTGATTTAATGGAAATAACTTATTATACCTTAAAGTGATTATGATCATTAATACAAAAAAAAAATATATATATATATATATATACACCATCTCATGTTAGAACATGATTTTGGCTATTTTTAATCCTCTTTCACTGATTCCACACTAGTGTATCATGCTGAAGACATTCATCTCTTATCTTGAAATCATAGAAAAAGAACTGAATCTGTTTTAGCAGGAGGAGGTACATGATATCTTTTCTTTCTCTGTTCTAATGTAAACTCAGCATGAAGTTCAGAACCGTTTTCTTCCTGATGCTGTCAAGAACCTAGAAAAACAGCTGAAAAGCAGTATTTCAATTGTCTTTTTTCCATTTTGTGCTTTTTGAATTACGCTTTACAAGATGGAACCTTTTAAGCTTTCAAAACCCTATACAGTAGTAGATGCCTTCCACTGAATAAAATTTATATAACATTGAAAGCTCTGAGAAATATCACCCCTTTGTAATATAACACAAATAAAAGAAATGTGAGAGGCAGCTGGCAAATCAATCCACTTAATGATCATATCATAAAACAAATATTACATTACTCATCATTAATTTTTAGAATTTTTCAAAAAATATAAGAACACAATTGGTTATTTTTTTCCTCCAGTTTGTGACATAATTTTCTGAACGAAGTCATTGCTAAATATGTCCTATGCCCTAAATTAGGAAAGGTAACACAGAAACAAGAAATCTTTTGTAGGCATCATCTAACCAAGGATAGACTGAAGCCGGCTCTCAGAACCTTCTCTAGCAAATGGGAGAGGTGTTGAATGTCCTCAGATTTAACTTACCAGAAAGATGATCGAGGAATCTTGCTCTCATTGAATCAACTCTAATTATGTGATTTAGCACGTGACGTAGCATTCAATGATCTCTGGATCAGTCCCAGACTCACTTTGTTCTAATACAGTAACAGTCTAAAAAACTAACAGACCTTTAACTTTTGCAGTGACTTACCTTGTCTGTTATCCACTTTTTAGGCTGTACTTCTCGGAAATGTTTAATTCCATAAGTTTCTTCGCCATAGTTATCTGACCTAAGAATTGATGGGTCATACTTCTCATTTTTATGATATGAAGAAAATGGCAAAAATCTGAAATTTGAGAATATTTAAATATTAGTGTTAGTCTACTCCGAATGCGATAGGATTGATGAAATCATAGGTATCCATGCTACAGGATATGACAATGACATTTTTTCCTGCTATTTACCACTAATTCTTAAATATTCTTCTACTGTATGGTGGAAGGATTACTGCAATTCCTCTTCTAGCTATTTTTAATGAATTTTGAACAAAAAGCCATAAAGTTACAGCAGGATAAAATGCATACTTGTTGCATAAAGATATAACATTGCATTACCAGGTGATTTCTGTGGCTGCCCTACCTGCTGGCGTGGTGGAGAGAGGAAGTGACCAGAACTCAACTTGCTGTGATCTCCTTTGGCTCTAGGACTGCATGTAGACACCTCAAGTCTAAACTGGCAATGAAATCTGTGCCATCTGTCAGTGGCTGGCAGGTACCACACAGAAGTAGAGAGCTAACTCCTGGAGAACCTCACAGCCACCTTACAGGTGGTTCACTCCAAATGGCACCCCACGCCCAGCCTAATCCTCATGGCTCTGTGAGGAGGGAAATATTTCAAGGGCATCATCTCAGTCCCATCTAGGTTTGCCAGAGATTTATAAGAGCAAATATGTGTGTTTTAATATAAACTATATTCTGGTGAACAACATTTATCATTGCTGGTATTCTAAAAAGACAATGGGTGATCTTTATTCGAAAGGTGGAGTATGAGGTTGAAAAATGATTAGACAGTAGAATTAGAAATATGTTTCAGAAGTTGAAAACATTATTTTAACTGCCACAACAGGTGTTAACAACTAAAAGATTTTTCTACCTGAAATATCTTCAGAGTCATGAGTCTCTGTGAAAGTCAGTCAAAAAATTAATAGAAAAATGGGAATAAAGAAAGAAAAAGAAAAGCTTAGCTTTAGTCTCTCAGTTGATAAGCAAATTCATAAAAAAGTTTTATTTGCACTTATCAAAACATTGGCAATTGTTTAGCTTTTAATTTCCCCTTTTAATAAATTATATGACTTCCTTTACTCTTCCCGCAAAAACGTATTTTAGAATCATAGGATGTATTCTGCAACCTATATCAATTTATTCTATCAAGTATCACTAACAATGATCAAGTTGGGCGGTGAAAAACCTCATGCAATTCGAAACCACTGAGTTAGCACACTTTTAAATTACACAAAACCAGAGTAACGTGTATATTCGTGGGGAAGGACACTCTCAGATAAAATGGATTACAGTACTTGTAATGCTAATTTGCACATGGGATGGACATCACACACACACACGCACACACGCACGCAGATTAATGTGGCCCCAGTGTCCCAGAGAATACATCGAAGGTGCTGTGAGCCGGCTGCTCCACTTGAAGTTTTTATCACTTCTGAATTGCATTTTAATAGTACATTTTTCTTCTGTTCGGACATGAAAGAAAATTGGCTTTCTCAGGGGACTAGATAACTGAGAAGACAAGGCTAGAAGTTTAGGGATTTGACTATATATGCATAGAATTTAGTTAAGCCGTAACATTCACAATTCAGTACGAATACTGTTTCGGTAAAATGTATACACAAAACAGCAAAACATTTTCATGACAAAGGGAGAAGGCAAAGTGAAAGAAAATAATAATAAACAGAGTTTATTCTTGAAATTTGCTTTTCAGGGTTTCATTTACTACAGATCAGTTCAACTTTGTGTTTTTGACATAATGTTCAAAATAGTCTATATTCCAACATTTTATATATATATATATTTATATAGAACCTATATTATAATACTTTAAGATGCAACAAACAGTATCATATGCATGCAGGTTGGCATAAATTTAATCTTCTGCAGTTTACTGTATAGCTTCTTTAACATGATAAACCAGAATATGTGCCATGTAGCTTTGAATGTGTGTCTAGGCCTGAGGGGCAGGTGAGGGAAGGTAGGTAAAGCAACCATTAATTTTTGAGAGAGAATACTGAAAACTAAAATCGTTAAAAATGAAATAAAAAACATTACAAAAATATAACAGTGTAGCATAGTATAAAATTATCTAAAACTCTTTTTTTCTGCTTATCTCAACAGTTCTGCTATCCAAACCAGGCAACCACATCCTTACAGGAATAGTGATCCATACACAAGAGAACCATATGCTCACAAATTCAATGTCTGCTTAAATCAAGGAAGAATCTTCATTACTCTATATGCACAAGTATTTAGAAAAGAACACCAAAACATTTTGTATTAAATAGGCTAACCAAATTAATGAGTCTGTATTAAAAAAATCGCTATACCTCAACAACAATAAAAGTAAAAAAACTAAACAGTAAAAAATACTTTAATAATAGAACCGTGTTTGTGGCTTTATATTTACATCTGATGGAGCTTTTCCCAAAATTAAAGACAATGTGCTCTGCATGTGATAAAGTGTGATGGCAGAAAACTAAATCCAGAAAATGGTATGATGTTACTAAAAATTTCCCAAGTGTAGATTTGAGGAGTTTTATACAAGAAGCTCACTCCTGTGGGATTCACCAAATGGTAATGATTTAGTGGGAGGTGAACTGCCTCCCCCCTTACCCTAACCAGTTCAGAAGTTTACATAAGAGACATGCCAAAGAACACATTCAAGGCAGCATGAAAGAATTGGAACTGAGAAGCCACATATTAAAAAGAGTAATGTTATATACACATTTTGAGCGAAGATGAAGACCAAAGCTGGCAGTATCTCTGGTTGTGAAGACCAGCTGTACTTTTGCCAGGTCCACAGTAGGCTGAATGAAGCTAATTAGAGTAAAAAGTCATAGAAATCTTGACTTGGTAGGCAATCTGGGAGCTCACAAGTGTGATTTGTATATACTTAACCCTTGAAAAACACCTTAGATACCTGCTGTTAAAGGTAAAACAGAGATTGTTTTCTCCCTCCCTTCATTCATTCTGTCCTACCCTCGCCCCCGTCCTTGCTACTATTAATTGTATTGTCCATCCCTTCTTTCCCCTATCTTTTGGCTCCCTCATTCTCTTTCCTCCTACAACTTCTCACCTATCATTTTTTCTTATCTGTTCTTGCTCTTCTATTCTATTATCTCTCCTGTGACAGGAGATGGAAGAGGCCTCTTAGGTTCAGAAGGCTTTCCAGGTGGCCTGACAGAGATGATAGAAGGAGCACTAGGTACTAAGGCACCTGGTGCCTATGGCAGTGTGAGAGGAACAAGACAGCTTCCTCACCTTACAGGAGACCATGAACAGATGAGTCCTAACAAACACTCCTTTCCCATCTGGCAGCCATGATTCTTTTATTTTATTTTATTTCCTCTAAATAAATCATGTAATGAATTTTGAGCTTTAAAATTAGTCTAATACGTGAAGTCACTGCTCTGTCTAATCCAACAGTCTCTTTATCTTTTCATTCATGGAAAAATGTAAGAATTACAATGGTTTTCCCTAGCAGAACAACTGCTAGCCACAATTCAGTTCACATGAAAATTGAAGTATTATGTGCAATATAAAGACAGGATAACATACTTAAGGTATCTGGTCAGATTACCTCCAAAGCAATATTTTTTGATAGGAAACACCTTTTGGATCACTATTACAGACACTGTAATATACACACAGGTGTCTGTAATAGTATACTAAATACATATTGGTGCTTTTTCAAAAAACAATAAATCATTTTGTAGGTCAGTAAATCTAAGAATTCTTTTCTTTTTTGTTTAACCCATATCTGCAGTAAAGTGGCAAAGAAAAACATAGTCTAGTTCTGGTAGGCAGCAAAAGAGATCTCTTCTGCAGCAAATTCTGGAACTTCTTAATTATACACAGACTTATTATCTGCATCCCCAGTGTTACAAAGTACCAGAACTTCATTAGAAAAATTAAGATGGAAAAATGAAGGCGCTACTTTGTAAATTTCCACTGGAAATTAGCTGGAAGAAGCAGAGGAATACTGGATCAAAAGAGGGTAATCATGCTTAACTGTGCCCTAGAGCACCCGCATGTATAATACGATTTGCACAGTAACTACCTCTCCTATTACTGCTTGTTTGGAGTATTCTGTGTTAATGGGGTTAGCTAATTTAGTATTTTAACTTAAAAAGACTCTGCTGATTAATAAATGTTGCACACTGTGCTAGTAATTAAAATAAATGGAAGAGTTACAAATAGAAGTTGAATTGTTAAGAAAACATTATCTGAAAATATATGATAATCCCTGTTTATCATAATACAATAACAGTCCGGAAAATATGCAAATTGCTGAAGTTGCAAAGCATATGAAAAAGTAAGTATAATTTGAAAAAAGTTTTCAGATGTGCTATATTTGTATGACATAAAATGTGGTGGCCATTTTCACTGCAGCTAAGTCAGAAGCACAGAAAGAGATTTTATAAATGTAGAAATTAAGATTTAAAGAAAAATACATTTTACCAATCAGTGCAAAGTGACTTTTTAAATTTTATTTCCATCAATACTGGGAAGCTCGTAACACTGATGTTCTCCAAGTAGACAGTTTATTTTTAATAACCGCTAATTAATAATCATTAATTTTCTACGAGTGCACCTTTACTGCACAGCATCATGTATCATAGAGACACCAGAGCGGGTTTTAAGGGGAAGTGTTACCCTGCTGAGAATAAACCGGTGATGACGGACACAGGTGATGGCGCAGCTTGAGAGAGGCTGGCTGTGCAAAGCCCTGTGCTGTGCTGCACAGAGGTGAAGGAGCTTGCTCAGAAGCAGCTTTTCTACCCCCAGCACTGAACACAGAGGTAGCCAGAGGCTGAGTGACTTGCCTCGTGTTGCACCAGACGTCTGCAGCAGAACAGGAGACTAAAATGTCCGTAGCCTCACACTACTACTGGTTTAGCTCTGTTCTATCACTGCAGTGCCCCTCATTCTGTGTATTCAGACTTTATAAGATGTTTAATGGGATATTGCAAAGCATCATACACTACCTGACAGAGATTTCAATAGTCAATAATGTAGATAAATATAAATGTAGAAAAATCTAGAAAATGTAGAAAACAAGGCCAGAATTCTGCTGCATGCAACCGAGTAGGGAACTTTCCATACTTAGTCTATCTGAATGTATCAGATCCAGCTAGTGTCTTAGACTAGACAGGGAATTCCAGCATAAGGTGTAGTGGCAGCACGATGTTCTGCGTTGCATTTGTTCTGCCTTGCCTGCCTCAACCTTTATCACGGCTTTCTCTAATAGTTCTTCATTTACCAGAAGCAAGAGCTTTCTTAAAGCTAAACACTTAGAGGAGACATATCACCATGGAAAAGAACTGTTAATCAGGGGTGAGGGGAAATTCTGGATGTTGTCTTCACAGTACAAAGATGAAGGTATGCAGTATTGATAATTTTCGCATCTTAACAGATATTGTACCTCACAACTCATTCCAGAAATATACAACCTCAGGAATTCAGTTTATGTCATCTTAAGCAAAAACAAGCTTTTGCAAGAAATCCCATACTCTTCCTCTATTCTTTCTCTCTGTTTCCTAAACTAGGAAAACAATCAGCTTCAGAAGCACTACAAGGAACAAATACAGTCCCAGAGTACATACAGAGAGGCAGAAATTTGTCAGTTCACAACAGACACTGCTGAGAAAAAGCACAGTGGGATTTGAGTAATCCTTTGCTGACTCCTCCCTTGAGGCCTGCGTTCCTCCCAGCAGCTGCAGCATTGCCAGCAAGCGTTAGTCCTGACGGGGACCTGCAACTCTGTCATCACCTTCTCAAGGGTACAGAGGTGACCCCTGCGTGGCTGGCCGAATCTGAAGCACAAACAGAACGATCACAGCCCGAAGATACTGTTCACTTAGTGTGGGTGACTCTGAGAATTGCTGCTGCTAGACTTTTGTGCACTGAGGATGCCACTAGATGTTTCCTCATCCATAATGTGAATAAGGACCTCTGACGGATTAACGTTGCAGTTGAAGACTACAAGTTGAAGACCAAGGTCTTCACAAGGAAGAGACATGGTGAGCTCTTCATAAAGACCTTATCTTTTTAAAACAGTTGACAGTGTTCTCCATGATTCTCATCAAATCTCATCAGATAAAGACTGTGCAATATATCTGTGCCTATGAATGAATACCATGATCCATCTTAGAGCAGATAATTAAAACTGATTCAGAGCAAAAACTTTAACTGTGAGGTAAAAATGTTAATTATTTCCCAGTGTTCTGTAGATTTCATTGGCAGCAGCCAAAAATAAAAATGTTTTTAAAAAATTTACCTCAGACTTAAGCTTAGATCTGCAAACTAAGATGCTTTTCCCTCCCCAATAACAAAAGAGAATACAGAGAATAGAAAACTGAAGTATATTTTTACTTACAACTTATCTCAATTTTGTTTTTGTAAAAGAGGAGCAAAAATTACACTTCATTACATTACATTTTTGTCAGCAAATATCAAATATCAAGTATTAGAAATAAAAGATTTTTTCTTTTCAGAATTTTTTTGAGTAGACTCTGATTTTAAAGTCAGTGTTAATAGTAAATAAAGAAAAAAAAAGTGAAAAAAAAGATCCAACATCAAAACAAACACTTTCAGATGCAAGTGCAGTTGATTTTAGAACTAAGTCCCAATCCTTAAGCTGAGGCAGGCAACAGGGAGCTAATAAAAACTGCCTGAAATGTAGCAATCATAGCAAAGCATAGTGAGTGTCCCAGTGAAACAATGGATCACAGGCTGCTCATGAGGAAAAGTGATTCCTTTCTGTCCCTAAATTCCAGTATTAAAATGTCAAAGAATTGGCAAGAACAGGAAATACAGGTGAAAGTTGACCTAAAAAAAGACATAATTTATTAGTTAACTACAAAGTGAGAGTAGATTACTTAATAGGCTTTTATTATGATGAGACCAAAAGAGTGCCATCCATGATAAGAAAAATATATGTATATACATATTGGGAATGATTATGTCTGTATGGGTTTATATTGAAAAGAACTTGCCCCTCTGAAGCTGTTATAGACACTGTAGCTCAGAAAACAGAACTGGCTCAAAGATGACTATTATGTTCTCACACGTACAGCATACGCTCCTTTCCCTTCCAAGGAAGCTGTGGGTGTCTGCTGGAAGAGACTGCAAGTCTCATTGGCATGCAACACCAACTTTTCTCCCAGAATCTTCAAACTCTCTGAATACGAAGACTGAATCAGTAGCTTGGCAAGGTGCATGTGGGAAAAAAGGTTCTCTTTTTTTGCATTTGTTTGCTCATTTCCCATTAAGCCCATCTGTTGCATTACCTATTATTATCACTGAAAGTTCTTCTATAGTTCCATAGAAATGGATGACACATGTCATACAATTACAAGACAGGGTCCCTGCCCTGAACAGTTTATAATCTAAAGACACAGAATTTAGAAGTATGTACACCGAATGTTTGCTAGTAAGCTGTCAGGTTTGACATTTCATTTTGTCAAGCATGAAAGGTTTCTGAAAGCAACAGAATAATAAAAAAAAATCTCATAACAATGTAAGACAAAACAAAGAACTTACTCATTGTCATGTATACGGTTTCTCCATTCCTCTCTCTTGATTTCCTCTCTGGCCTTCTCTAGTGAATTGATTGACGTTGCCACTCGCAAGGTTGGTTCCAAAGGCTTGTAGCGCTGCCGCAGAACTTCAGCGGGATCACGGAAAGGCCCCTGAAAGGTACAGGATAATGTACATATGTTATTGTGGGGTTAGAGATCTTTTCTTTCCTTGTTTTATTCATGTCACATTACTGATGAGGACACAGAGTTTCTGGGAAGTATGGCAAGATTTTTCTTCTCAAATAATTAAATCAGTTCATTCTGATGGAGAGTTACAGATAACACAAAGGCTGATAACATGTTCTAAAGTCCTGCTCAGCAGAGGAGAATTGCGGAGTGTGGATTTATTTAACCAGAGAGACTTATTTAACAAGGAAGAAATATCTACCATTTCAAAACAAAGCATTGTTAGAACTGATCAGGACATCGTATTTTTCCCATGGAAGAAATATTAATGAAATAAAACCTGATACTCAACTATCACCTCCATCTAAATACCAAAACAACTCAAGACATTTCTTTTGCATATGATAAAGTATGTTTTAACTTAAAAAAAAAATCTCTTTTTAATTTTAAGTAAAAACATATCTGGAAGAGGAGAATTCATTATATGACTTAAGACTTCTAAAAGAAGTCTTACAACTTAACCCAATGACTATAATACTGTACATTTAGAGTCCATGTTTTAAGAGTCTAATTCCACATTAATTTCATTATTCTTAAAAAGTACCTTGAAAGCTTTTACTTCTTTGACAATAATACATATATTTTCACACTAAATTGTCCAATAAATGAACATATCTGCATCTACTATTTAATGACACAGATGAATAGCAGCAGAAAGTTCTTTTCTGAACTGTCAAGTAATGTATCTTATATTTTGCTTTTAATAACAGTGAGTATGAACTCACCTGGAGCTCAATTAGTACCATATTAAGCTCTGGACAATTTAGCAACAACTCTTAATTTAGCAGTGTTGCTAATAATTTTTGTTTTATTTTTACCATTTTTCATCCTGCTACAAAAATATGAGCAAAGAATCCTAATGATGGCCTTTAGTCTTAAAAGATATCCTTCTTTAAATAGGTTATCACTAACAAGTCACAGCTGGAGTTACTGCAAGCACTGAGTGAAGACTGTGGGGCTAATAAAAAGAAATGATTCACGCCTCATTTATGTTCACTTATGTTTTACATTAATAGAAACCAATAATAGGAACCAGTTACCATAAAAGTCATGGACCGTAAATAACACAAATGGCAAATAAGTATCATCTAGTACTTTTCACAGCTGGACAGGAGGATTGCTATATTTGAAAGCAGTTAATGGATTTTTATTGGAACTTTACTTTTTAAAGGCACAGCACTATGATTCGAAGATCTATTTTAAGATCCTAATAAGCAAGCAAGCATAGTCTTTACACTTCTCGCAGGTGTTTCCTTGCATTCGCTTTTTTCAAAATCTCCACAAACAGTACATTAATTTAATATGATCATAATACATCTTTAAAAGCAGAATGAAAAGCGTTATAGCACATAAGAGAAAAAAAAATCCAAGAACAGGTTATTAAAATTGGTAAACAACAGTAACATGTAATCTACTGATCAAATCACGAGAAGTTGAAATTTGGTGATATTATCTGCATTGCAAGGTATTTGCATGAGGTAGATATGCAAAGGAAAGGAAGGAGAAATGTTCTTTTATCCAATAATATATATGTAACTATGTGTTTGATTTTAGAAAATCATCTTTTAGAATATTGTATATCTTCTTCATCATAAAATATTTACTCACATTCCACCCAGCAAAGGGCCACATAAGATATCCAAGTTTTTTTTTTCCACCTTTAATTAATAAAATCTTCTACATCTTTGTCAATTTATAATTCAAATGAAGTTAAGATAATGCAGCAATACTAATGGGAAGGGGAGGAAAGAGTATGACTATGCAAAGGTCTCCCAAGTAAGGCTGTGTCATCATTATTGAAAGCAAGGTATATTGTAAAAAAATAGGATAATTCTAAATCTTCCCTGCAGATTTTTCCCTTTCGCTGAAATATGTGTTTGAAGAAGTCTTCCCCTGCAACAGGCATCTCAAGAGTATATATAAGCTGACAAGATCCCCAAAAAATCCATTTGCCTATTTCCATTTTGCAGGATTATCTTCAATAGCCATGTAATCTGTGGCAGAATGGTGCTTACAAATATTTTCAATGTGGCAGTGCCTACAAGCATTTTGGGCATCCTGCTTTAAGAACTACATGTCCCTGGGGAGATCAAGCTAGGTAAAGGAGTAAATCGACCAACAGCTTTCTTTCTGAAAGCAACTCAACCCCCTCATGTGCTGTTTTAAAATTTGTAGTGATTAGGATAAATCTTCTTGCTTCCAATCGGCTTGCCAAATAAAAGCGTTGCTAGATCAACAGGTATTCTTACTACGTATCATCAAATTAGAAACTTGTATTGAAAATTATAATCTACATGAAAATTCATGTTACTTTCACTGTCCCCATTCCACGATATCCACCAACATGCAAAAAACCTCCCCTGAAAATAAAAATATAGTTTCTGTTATTAATGCTTTTGAAAGAACAGATTACTAATTTTACCATATCTGTGCTTCCATCAGGCTGTAATTCTAGGTAATTTGGTAATAAAAATGATAGATCTAACTGATATATCAGAAACATTAAAACTTTGCTTTTAAATATTCTATTTTACATACACAGAACTTACCTATAAAGTGCTAAATATGAATTCTCTACATGAGAACAGTGGAAGAGAGCTAAGTCTTGTTTTCTTAAAAACATATAATCCATATTCTCATCTAAAATAAATATCTCTTTAGATAATGGAAATTGTAGATATCTGAACAGACAGCAAAGTAACAAGTGACTTGCATGGGGTCTGATATATACGAGAAAAAGGAAAAGCTTGGTGCCAAAAAGTGCTACCACAGAGAAGTAGGACACAAGTATAGCTAGTAATTAAATTCCTTACTGTCACACCGGACAACTTTCAGCCTGATACGTTCTGATGGGTTTTCATTTCCAGCTGTTTCATCAGCTCAAACCAGTGTCCTTTTCTTAGACATACAACCCTAAATTGTCAAAGTGTTGTGCAGGGATTTAGCCGTGTGACTCCCATTAACATCAATAAGAGTCGCGCAGCTAAATCCACGCGCTGTGCTTTGAAAATTTACCCCACAGTGCATATCCCAGGGTGCTGAAAGGATTAAAGTATTATATAGTAAATTCCCTCTTTGAGGTGGGGAAAATAAACAGAACTCTTCTGGTTTGTTCTAAAGGTTTGCTCTATCTGTCTGACTGCTCTGTGTGTGTCTAAACCTAGGAAGTTCTACAAAATATTCCAAATCAGGACAGAAGTTGGTAAGATACTTTATATACAGTAAATTGCTTTTGCAAGAGCACAATGGAAAAAACTCTCGTCTTTACTTAAAAGTATGATTTATGTACTATGCACACTAAGCAAAATATTAATTTTTGTCCTGAGAAACCTACATAGCATTCAGTCACATCCCACTGGTAGGGATGGCTATAGGTAAGGCTATAATGTCATGTTTATTTGGTTTTGAATTTATATTCAGCTCCAAACTCTCTGATCACCTATACCTTCTCCCTGCTGGCTCACATTTTGTTTGGGATATAATACGAGTCAATGAGCTCATCAGATGAGGAAGCTCAACAGTCAAGGTGGGGTAGAGCGGCAATGAAGGACAGAAAAGTGTCTTGAATTTGATCCCTACGGTTCTAAGCACTACGGATCCAGGCTGGCTCACCTCCACTTTCCAGAGGTGTCCAGGTGTGCTTGCAGACCTGCTCCTGCTCCTCGTGCTCTAACCCAGTTGCCCTTGACTTCGCTTCCCTCCACGAGTAAATCCTCAGCCTGCTACAGCAGGGCATGATGTAGATGGGAGAAGAGCCTGTTCTGTGTGGGACAGCCAGGGAGCCCAAGTCTGTCTGCTGAAGAGCAGTGTGGATGCAGCCAATAAGCCACAGCCGCAGGCAGATTATTGCAGGTGACACAGCTGCACGTGGTTGGAACTCAGCAGTTGTCTAGACTTAAGACTGTATATATCACCTCTGCCAAGGCCTGTCTTAATCCAGTGGGAATGGCCATATCAGCTCAGAAGAGTAAAATGCCTACAAACATACATGATACATGTTTTAAGTGCTCATCATAATTGTTTGACTTCTGATGCTAAACATAGTTTCAGTGGAAGGAGTAATTTACAAGCATTTTCTTTCCAGCCAAAATACTGAGGGGAATTATGGAAAAAAAAATAATGTGTGAGAGGTTCTGGAGACACCGTGGTCATCCAAAGTTAAACAGGCTTTAATGGTATCGGAAAGTGAGAGGTAAGTAGAAGTTCACTAAATTTGGCAATTTGAAAAAAAAAATCTGCAGAAGGCAGGGAAAAACAGAATATTTCTAAACCTACAGCAAGCGTATCAGGTATTTACTGGCAAAAACTATATTCCTAAAAAACTATATTCCTATTCTTACCATTATCAGTAACATACACGTCTCAAGGTCTATCTGCTACGTTTATTTTTGCATATTACCAGTTAGTTTATATAATAAGGTGGTGAAAACTGTGTTGTCATCTTGTGGGACATCTACTCTGATCACAGAGACATCCATTACTTCATAGAAGAGAAAAAAAACTGTCTGCAACATATGTTGATATCAACTGAAATTAAAATTGAGACAATGACAGCTAAGATGAGAAGCTGGACAACTGGCAAATCATGTAGAACATGTAGAAACTTTTGTAATTAAAACTGATAGGTGGTAGGGGTTGCAAAAGAGCAGAAACTATTTTATTTTGAGAGGCTGTTTTTGACCTTCATGTGAAAAGCAATCTTAAAAAGAAAAAAAAAATATTTCAGTTGGTTATCTAGTCTTACCATTCTCCATTTCTAATATTTTAAGTTTTAATAATATAAAATTGTAATTTCAGAATTCTACCTCCAATAAATCACAATAAGAATATTCAGTTATATCATATCTTACCTTTGACATCTCTGAAATGCTGTTCTTTTACCAAAGTCTAAGGAATCATATTTTCCTTGATTTTACCTACCTCCTAGGTTTTCTTGTCTTTAAAATAAATCTGTTTCAGAGACATTACATGCCGAGTGCAAGCATTAATACTGTAAATGAAAGCTGCCTAGGAGACACTGAGAAATGTGACAGTTACCTGAGGTTTCTGGGTGCCAATAGGTGGCAGAGGCTCTGCGGCGGGGAAGGTCAGAGACCCTGCACTGTGGGACAGGTCACAGAGCGCCCCTGGGAGGGGACTCTTTGCTGGCTGCTTCCTGTGGCTCAACGGCTTTGACTTCCGTAACAGGAGCTCCATCGGATCCGGAGATGTTCTGAACGGGGAGTTGTACACACCTGCAATCTGAAGAGAAGACGGGGTTATCTCTGAATTCAACACACAACAAACACTTTCACAAGAAGTTTCTGATGACTACTGACATGGGATAGATCTCCAGATTAAACTCCATTACAGTTACCAAAGGGTCTAAACATGAACATCTGAAGTATAATACACATTTCAGCCCGTGGAATGGGAATAACTTTTATGGAAGCAAGAGTTACACAGACGAGCTTTATGTATCTCAAATCCATCTTTACTTTCAGTCATATTCAATATTTCATCTTCCACTGTAGTGGTCAAACAAACATACTAGTTTTTCCTCAAAAATTACTAAATGCATATGAATTTGGCCATAGTATTAAACTAAAAGTACTATATTTGCTTTATTTAAAAGTGCTATATATGTTTTTGTTGTTGTTTAAAGTTTTGTTGTTGTTTAAAGTGTATGTGCAATAGGAATAAAAATTGCCTGTTAAGGCCAAATAATAAAAAAAATGTTTATACAAAGAAACAGATAACTCATGTCCCCTTTAAACTGTGTCTCAAGATAATGGCCACAGTATAATTACAGTATTTTTAGAATTAAAGCTGATTGATTAGATGAAAATGCCAGATGATTTACTGAATACTAAAAATCAGAAATTGCTTGTTTTCCTGCAAAAGGTTCGCATTAATTTCATTTGATTATTCAAATATATTTAGATTTACTAGTATAAAACTCATCAAAAAAAAAAGATTCTAAATTCTCAATTAAGAATAGAATTTCACAACCTTCACGGTGAAGTTTTCAGTCCATACTTTTAAGGATAAAGAAACAGCATGTTTCACTATTGCAATATTTCTATATAACGTAACATTTACTAATGTAAAGCACAGATTTCAAATCCTGAACTAGTAACCTCTGCCATTAACAATCAGTGAGTATCTAGGAAGTCAAAATTTTGCAACAGATAATTCCCAAAACATTCTGAACAACAGCACATGCAGGAATTTTATCATTTGCGTAAAAATGATCCACAGATAGATATATGTGAGTTTGCTGGGTAAATTACGAATGGTTAGATATCCATTCTGGTTTAATAACTACTGATTTATGTGCTAAATATCAGAATTGCTTGATTGTATGGTACCAAGTCACCACATCTTCAATAAACCAGTTGACATCTGCTTAAAATATACCTGGCAAAAATTAATTTAAAATCTTGAATTGTTTTAAGGATATTTTCCAGTACAATATACTTGGAGTACTCCCAAGATTTTTAGGCTATATTTGTTTAGTTAAAATATATTACATTTTGCTTTTATCATATTTTTAATTGCTAAGAACTATTGAATAACATAGTAGAAAAAGACATTAGTTTCAAGGTGTGGAAAAGGTTAGGAAAAGAGTAAATGTTTATAATCTTGCATTTTTCTTCTGGCACACTACTGAAGACCCCTGAGAAAACTAAGTAGAGCATCAGCATCCTCATAAAGTATTAACCTCTTGGGGCTGAGAGGATTGAATGCTCCCCAATTAGCTCTAATGCATTTTTCATTAGCATATACTATGGGGAAATTTCAACTCCCGGTGTCAAAAAAGTTAAATAAGACCCATATAAAAGTTATTGTTTAATGGACAAAGATATTCAGAGACGGTAACTTATTTAAAATATTGTTCGTAAATTTTGTAGGCTAAATTCTCCAACTCTGTAATGATCTGGACCTAATGACAATTTATTTAGATTCTGCGTCACATATTCCCCTCCTAACACAAACCCTGTAAATTGTTCCACTCTACTAACGGTGTAAATGGGTGTTGGGAAAGAGGACATGAACAGAGCTATGTGGCAGGAACATTTTTATGCCAAACAACCACTGACTACTTCTTCAACCCTACAGGATGCCAGACTAAAATGGCAGAGATCCAGGCTTTGAATAGCAGGCAAGGAGGGTCAGTGGAGTGTATGCAAAATTGCAAGGCCATCTGTGTGATCTGTAGAATTCATCTGCATCTTAGAATCTGATTCTACAAATCTGGCTCCTATTCACAAAACAACTCATAAAGTTACAAATTCTTCTTACAGTGTTAATCATAATCTTTGTAGTATTTCACTCATTGCCCTGTTACAAATGTCTTAACAGTCCTCCATATTTTGCTTGCAGACATGCAGTGATCTACAAGTGCTACCTTGACTCAAGTTCCACATGTTGTCTCTGGCTTTTATTATGCTCTCCCACAATTATTGAATGCATTTTCACTAAGTGTTTGCTCTGCAGTTAATAAAATGTTGCACATAATGTCCCAGGCAAGCTCTTCCCTATCGGTTGGGTTCCATGCTGCAGCTGTACAAAGCAACTGTGTGCCACAGGCTTTATGTCTCTTTATCCACTCATCTCACCAGTGTGACCAGATCTGCCTCCATACTAGTCATTTTTGCCTTCACTCAACTCAGCTGCTGATAGTAAAATAGAAAAGTGTTTGTCTGTGACTTGTTAACACAAAACTTCTCATTGTATTTTTGCTTTATCTTTCCACCATTTCTTACAGCCTGGGCCATCTGTGTTCGTTTGTTGTATCCTGTTTAATGCAGAGATGATGCATTTCAGCCATGTCATGATTGCAGAGGTCCTTAAGCTCAATAAGATACTGCTTTCTGACTGTATGTCTGTGAAATTCATCAAATATGATATAGAAAACTATAATATCATTGAAAATAAAGTTTTTCAGAACAAAAACATTTCCACATTCACCACAGAGAATCAGGGTGGTCTGGAACCCCTAAGACATAATAATGGCTCTCCAAAGCTGGCAGGCATACATGTGTTCATCAGTAGCAAATTCAGCTTAGGGCTTCATCTGCCCAAAATGTTCACCATTTTCTAAGCTTTAGTGAAAAATGCTAAGGACCCAACTGGTTAGGAATTTTAAGGTAAGAAAATTTATCTCTGAAATTATAATTTGCTCTTTTTATTTTCTAAACTGAAAAAAAAAAACTGAAAAATTTTAAACATATTTCCTCTCAAAAACTATAGCTTTCACAAAATACACAATTTTAAAATGATCTGTTATCTGGGCTCCAACACATGGTGCTGCTTCTCCTTCTTCATATTTAGAGAAGTATAAATGGCCCCATGACTATAATGACTTTCTGAAATTGCATTTTTTAATCTCTATTGAGCAAAAATGTCTGTTCTCCTTGGTATTTCTTTTTTTAACTGTTTGGCAGCAGAGAGAATAGGGTTCAAACAGTGTGAAATGAAGCTGAGTATCTCTATGTGCACAAATAGCATTGGTTACCACTTTCAATAACACCAAAATTAGCCATGATGAATTCGGGAACACCGTGATTCAGTGTATTTCAAGATATTATTACTGAAAAGATGCCTTAACAAAGAACCATTTTTATTGTTCTGTTTTACATATTGTCAGGTCAAATACATAAAGATAATGTGCCCAACTATAGAAAGGGATCTGGAGTACTAGTGAGGGCAGCTGGACACTATGCAGGAAGCTGCTGCTTCTGCAGTTGAATCTCTTCTGTTAGATCTGGGTCAAAATTAATTACCAGGTGCATTTTTAAGTAATCATTTTTCAAACAATCCTTGTTAATTGCTTTACATTTTAATTATATATGTCTAAGTATTCAAACAGACAGATAGCAGGGCAATCAGCAGAGTTCGCATCTAGATTGATAAAATTAATACTAATTCTCTCTGAAATCCCGAAGGTCTGTAGCAAGGTTTTAGGTCCAGATTTAAAAATGTGAAAGTTTGGTAAGAGAGAAGAGTAGATGAGTTTGATTCCATTTTGCAGTTCAGATCCATGTCTGATAAAATTGCTTCAATTTATTTAAAAATATTTCTGCAGAAATATTTCTGCAAATTGTTTCATATGTGCTGAATGGTGTGTGCTGATGTATGCCCTCCTCACTGTATCCCCTACAGGGAGATTGTACAGCTCCAAGAATCTGGAGAATCAAAGCTTCTGGTGCTTAAGAAATGTGTATATTTTCTTGAGACCAGTACAATATGTTAAGAGCATTATTCCCCCCACACACACTTTAATATAATAGTCACTGAACTACAAAACCATTAGAGTTACTACCGCTTTTTCAGCAGTAGAAAAGTGACTATCTTGACAAATTACCTGCAAGGACTCCAATATTTTACCCACATTTAGAGAGAGAGTCGGTAGAATAAGAAAATATTATCCTCCAAAATATTACTATAGGTTACAGAAAATACTTCTTATCTGAAGGGAGAACGATACATTTTACTATGTCCATGTTCTTCACTGCTAAGAAGGGCCTCTGTCAAAGCCAGCTTTCTGGGACTTCATTTCCAGGAACAATTTTCAAAAGTGACAAACACTATGGGGAAATCTCTGCTAACTGTTAAAAAACCTGCAACTGAGTTATTTGCAGTACTGTCATGCTAACTTCCAACTCGATAAGACCAGAGAAATCTCAGGAGGTGACTCCGCTAATAGCTTCTTACTGCCCTCCTTATATCAGGCCCTTCTGCTGAATGGTGGCCCAGTGGTGAATATGGCAAATGAGCTGTGAAAGCTCCACTTTTTTTTTTTTTTTTTAAGACTATGGTTCTGACTCGTCAGGGAAAATAAAAAAAAGGAGAGAAATGAGTTATACAATAGATATATTTTTCCTCTAGAATTCTCTGCCTCAGACCTTCCATCATGGAAACTCAAGCATGACCTGGAATATTAATTGTGTCAGGTCAAGCATACTAGCAAATGTACCATTTGTTACCCAGTCATCCTTAGCATTACATTAATATTTTGAATCATTTTGCATTTCTAACACTCTATCTTTCAGTTTCTTCCTAATCATTTTTGTATCTTTATAATTGTTTTTGCACCTAAAGAAAGAACAAAAAAAGGTAAGAAAACAAACATGAATTTACTGAATATTATCTTAAAAAAAATCTGATCTTTGTTTTCAGTATCACTTCCATCTCTAATCCTAAATTTTGATAAGCTGTAGAATAGCATTTTTTTCCTTTTCCTGTTTGTTATTTCC